CAACAGTACATATATATGTGTGTATTAGGGAATGCTAAATTGTTATTATTTTTTACTGTTTTTCTTCTTCTTCATTGAGACACTTACAGTCATATCTCGTTGCAAATCGATGTAAGTTGCTCTTAAGCCCAGTTTCATTCACATTCCACCCATAAACCCTAAATTCATAGTCTGTCCATGGTGCCAAGCCCTCTAACTTGCTGCATGTGGACGTTGCATTAGAAGTTATGTTGACGATGGCACTACTGCTGTTTCCGTCAATAACTTTACTGTATTTAATAACATAACCAGCCACATGACCAAATCCCGGACTACTCCAACAAACAAACACAGATGAGTCTGTAGCGTTCGTCGTGTAGACGTCTAGAGGCTCTGAAAATAACAATTAACAAATCACCTTGTAACCAAATAACTGTAGACTTCAGTAAATGAGAGTGGCGAGAGTTAGGCCTAGCATCTGACTCATGAAAACCACGAAAGTTGTTCGTATTTTACATGTAACTCAACAGTAGACGATAGTAGCGAGAGTTAGGCCTAGCAGCCTTAAAAACTACAAATACTGTTTGTAATTTACTTGTAATTCAACAGTGAATGAGTGACGAGACTTAGGCTTAACATCCGGCTTATGAAAATCACGAAAGTTGTTTATATTTTACATGTAACTTAACAGTAGATAAGAGTAGAGAGTGTTAGACCTAGCAACCTTGAAATCCTAAAATGTTTGTGTTTTACATTTATCTCAACAGCAGACAAGAGTGGCGAAAGTTAAGCCTAACATCCTTGAAAATCACGAAATAGTGTTTATATTTTGTTTCAACAATTTAGTTTAGTAATCGAGAGAAGAAAAAGGCTTTATCTAACTTTTCGTTCATTTCAGACAGAGTGGTCTGATCAATGTGTAAGCTTCTTTTTCTTTCAGCAGAAATAAAATATCATGTACTCCTTGACAAAAAAAAAAAAAAGTTATTTAATCCTCAAACTAACATAAATCATTTCAAAAGGGGGTCAACGTTAATCAGCTGAAATTAAATTTCAGTAACACAAGCCTAACGTGTTTGGTAAATGTCAGTTTGCTATCGTACCTTTGATGATGGCATTGTCTAAACTTGTTAGTTCTTTCTTAATAAATTTTAATTCATGCAGTTTAACCTTGCCCCTTCCCCCTTTCTTTCTTATTTTATATGGACTGTGAGTGTTTTGTAAAGTATAGTGGCGAAAAACGCATTAATAAATTCCGATTTCTGAATGTGTAAAAGTTCTACAAATCTGATTATGACATCGATTCTAAAAAAGCGAAGAAACTAACCTTCCTAGCACTTTGTAGTGTTGCAGAAAAGTTACATTTCAAATATGTAAAATATAAAACTAAAAAGAACCGTGTTTTACTGCCAGGTTTACATAATAATTTTAATATATGAAATTGACTTTCAAACATAATATATAACAGAAAATTAAACTACCCGTGAGAACGACTATAGCAAAGTTATGGATTTGAATTCAGTTAAGTCTTAATTTTTACTCAGAAAAAAAAACCCACAACTTAACTTAAAATGCCGATGGCTAAATTATAAAAAGTAATAATTATCTTTTTTTATATTGTTCTCGCGCCTCAAGTTAAAGACAACACAGGTATATCAAATCAGACTGTTAATTTTAAGAAAAAAGTACGAGTAAAATCATTCTAAAATTCCAATTAGAAGGATAATCTTAAAAATTATTTTAATAATTCAATTTTAAAGCACGTAAAGAATATAAATTGATTTACCGGATATTTTCTTCAACACAATTTCAAGTTGAGTACTTGTTCGTCTCAAGGGAGACCCACCGTCTTCGGCAAACACATCAAACAAAAGAACATCTATGGACTGATTTAAACGTCCTCTTAAGGTTAACAGGCCAGTAACTGGGTCGAGTTCGAAAAGTTCTCTTGGTGCATCTTTTCCGAGCACATAGAAAACCTCGGAATTGTAGGCTAAAGGGTCAGCATCATGAGCACGAACTCTAAACAAGGACGTATTCACAGGGAAATTAACGTGCAGCTCCTTGTAGTAAAAGTCCTTCTCGAATTTGGGTGGATATTTGTTGAACTCGGAGACTATGATGTGAACGTGGCTTACCTCAACTACTCCTTGACTGACAGCAACAACCATCACCTGTAAGTAGTTGTAGAAAGTAAATAAAACCACAAGAATGACATAAATTACTTGCAAGTAGTTATAGTAAGTAAACATAACGACAATGATGACACAAAACGAAGATTAACCATTTATAAACAGGTTACCTGAGTATATTCTATATAAAGGTTGAACACTATAATGATTTAATATGCTAGCAATCTAATCAAACAAAGCCAAACGAGTTTAAGATACTGTTATGTATCTGCTTGTTTGTTAATTTCCCGTAGAAATTATTTCCGAGAAACTTCAGCAATATAAGTCTTTTCTTAATTAAAACTAGTTTATTCTTTCTCGAAACAACTTTGTAATACACAGAATTTCCACAGTAAATACGTTTGCAATCTTGATAACAAAACACACACTTTAAATTACCGTCACTACAGCTCGCTTGACTCAATTATCTGTCTCTATATCTATCTGCAATTA